TACGCGGAGTATCTGTGGAGCTGGATGGTGAGAACTGGCGACTTTCTAGTACAACTTTAGTACGCGGAGCAATCTGTAGAGCTGGAAGCTGAGAACTGGCGACTTTGTAGTACAACTTTAGCACGCGGAGTATCTGGCAAGCTGGACGATGAGAACTGGCAACTTTGTAGTACAACTTCAGCACGCGGAGCAATCTGTGCAGCTAGAAGCTGAGGACTGGCGACTTCGTAGTACAACTAGAGTTGTACTGGCGAACAGTGTAGTACGCGGAGGAGTCATCTCTCGCTGCTCATTCATCTCTCGCTGCTGAGTCAGCTCTTGCTTTTGTTTTGGGATCCGTACATGTAGCTGACCATGGTTTGAAGGCGCTAGCTAGCAAGCCAGAGAGCAACTGGTGACTTTGTACTACAACTTGAGTACGCGGAGCAATCTGTGCAGCTAGAAGCTGAGAACTGGCGACTTTGTAGTACAACTTTCGTACGCGGATGAGTCATCTCTCGCTGCTGAGTATCTGGGGAGCTGGAAAATGAGAACCGGCGACTTTGTAGTACAACTGCTAAAGTATGCGGAGTATTTGGCAAGCTGGACAATGAAGACATGATTTTGACTTTGAAAACACCACCCACTTCGCGTGCCCGCACCAGCTGCACTTAACTTTCGCTTGCAGATGCCCAGTTGCTTCAGCACGCCGCTGTGGGCTGGTGATCTTGCTTTGGCATAGACACAACCCAGTGCGCTGATCCTGCTGGGAGCACAGACATTGCACAGGTGGCGCTGTGTGTGTGTGTGTCAACAGTCCGGAGCGCATGCGTTTGGCTCAGTGAGTGACACGAGGGACACGCATGGTGGAGAGAACGTGGACACTCCTATAGGTCAATGTGTTCTTATGGGAAACTTCCGCCGCCGGCTTGCCCGGGAACTGCTTGTACTAGCCATGCCTGGGCCTTGGTGCAATAGACTTTGTTGCGGGTGGGGGCTCGTTAGCAGCCTTCTTGAACCAGGAAAAGCTCACATGGCCTAGCATATGTGATCAATCTAGTCTAGTTAGAGTTGTGCTAAAATAGCTGGCAATGATACGTTCGTGCAATAGTGAAATGAAAGACAAGCCAAGCAACGTCAGGAGCCTTTTGAGGCATCCTTTTGACGAGAATGAGATGAAATTGGTCATGCAACTGAAGTTTTCCCAAGGTTCAATTCCAGGATGTCCTTGACCATTTAGAGTTCGGTAGTCCTGGCCCTATCGGGCTGTGAAGTTTCTTTTATATATGACTGGCCAAGCGCGAGGATGCTGGAGCCCAGACAGCTACAGCTACAGTATTTGTGATAGTGGTGAGCGCCCAGACGGCGATTGTGGTGAGCAGCGCCACTTTTGACACCAGGAATAGCCCAGTTTTTGATGAATGGCGTTTCTTCAGGCATCTCCTTGTAGCACTCGGTCAATGACTACAATAAGATGTGGCTCTGGTACCCAGGGCAGCCAGTCTTGCTGAGGTTTTCGGCTCCGCAGGTCAAATTTGACCTGACACCTAACACCTTTCCCGAGATCGGCCATTTCCAAAGATCAAGCCAGGTCCGTTTTTTTTTTAATGGCCTTGAGACTTCACTCCCATCTATGCTTAGCTATGATTTCATGTGATTTCCTGATCCTTAACATGTCGCGATCATTTGGCGATAGGACCTTGAGAGTTGTGTGAAGTGCCTGGAACGGGCTATGTAGTTGAATGCTTTGGATGCCTCGTATTAGCTGAAAAATACATTCTGTGACAGCATCGTGCATATGCAGTCCCAATGTTCAGTTTTCTTCCTGACCATGGTTTAGCGACGGACGGTGATGGGGATGGAGCTGAAGCCTCATGCAGCTTTGCCCAGCAAGTGATTTTTGAATGGGTATCTCGTGTGCAACTGAGACCACGAGGGAATCCAATCAAAGGTTTATTGCACTGCACGTGACCTAACTTTGGATCATTGGCTGACCAATGACCGACCGCACAGATTCGAGCCCGCTTGCCACGGGCCCGTCTTTGACTATGGCAGCACGTTGAAGAAAGTTACCGTGCCGCGAAGGAATCTGCATCATTGGCTGCTGATTACTCGTACCAAAGACATCCAAGGATTACTTTTTGGTGCCTGGCGTGGCTCCGCTCTAGAACAAACCTGACTTGAGTACGCTGTGCTGTGCATGCACCTGTGTAAGCCGCAAATCTCAGGTAGTGGTCACAAGACCACAGTGTTAGCTGCTGCTTTGATTACGTTCGCGCGTGGGCCCTTACGGAAGTTGAGCCAGTCAACCGCAATTACTGTTTCAGACGTTTTCAGACTGACTCAGGCCGACTGGTAGTTTCCGTATTGAAAGCTAGTGGGCTGCAGGCTGCAGGCTCTATAAATCAGAAAATTTGTTGCACGTTTTCGGCTTGAGGTGTGCCGGGCCTTACCAGACATAGAGCGACACTGATGGTAGGATACTGGATACTAGTTTTGTTAAGTCTCCGGGCCCAGGCGTTGGCCCTTAGCAGATGGGATTTCGGCCATGAGCTCAATTGTGTCAATGGCCCTTAGGAGAGAGAGAGAGAGAGACAGAGAGATTGAGAGAGAGAGAGGGAGAGAGAGAGAGAGACAGGGAGAGAACAAGAGGGAGCGGTGTCCCACGCTAAGATTCACATCATCAACTTGTTCCCGCATGGTCCCCCCGCTCACAAGAATGAGGGTCAGTCGGAAGCAGGAAAGTACTAGCTTTGCGGCTCTGTGTCAGTTTTGATAATTGTCAGTCCAATCTTTTGAGAGTTCACCTTTGTTTTGTAGTGCTGCCGAAGGCGATTGGCCTTCGGGTCATGCGAAATAGTGTCCCAGCAGAAGCGTTTGCGCCCAAGTGTTTGTTCATATTGTGCCGCGCTCCAAGACCCAAAGAGAGGCTGAAGCGAGGTTGAGAAGTGGATTGGATGCTTATAAAGGCTTCAAGCACCTGAAGGGACACATACTTCGTGTTACAGGTGAAGCGATTCCCAGTGAAACCATTCCCAAGGAAGCTTCTAGTTGCTAGAAAGCTTTATTGTTACTAAGAAGCTTGCAAAAGACATAGTAAAGGATACATAGTGTTACGTAGTAAAGGCTTACTTTGCACCTGAAGGATTGGTTGGCACCTTTGTAGGACTTGATGTTCACTAAGCCTAGGTCATCACTCTTGACGCCTTTGAGCATCGGCATGGACGAGGGGGATGCCTTCACTTGGCATGGCGGCCAAGAGCAGCTGAGATATTTGTGACTGGCAAGGGGTTTTGAGGACTGAGAGGAGTGGAATGGGAAGTAGATGAACAAATCCTTTCCATTTTGGCGCTTATGTTTTATTGTGAAATTATTTTTCGCTTGAAGGCAGATGCGCCATTGATCAGTTGCTTGAGGTATGGGAGGGACGGAGATGATCATGAAGCAATTCTGCAGACAGCCCAGCTATGCCCAGCTGCAGCGCAAAATTCAAGACACACACACACATATATATATATACATACACATGTATATAAACAAACACATGTGTATATATATATATTTTTTGTTTTATTTACATAATGGGTATAAAAATAAGTCATATACATATACACTTCAATTCTGTAGCTAGGACGTGAATGCAACTGCACAAAGCATTGGAAGAGTTGAGCACTTCAAACCCAGGTCAGTTGGCTCGGCAGGTGCTGGAATGGAGGCGCCATACAATCCACACCCCAGTAAAGCCTTTCTGTTTGATTGGCGTTTTCAAAGCAGATACTCATCCATCATCCCACTGAGGTGCAGTGCGGTGAGTGCATTACATCAAGCTTCCTCCTGCAGGGTTCTCATTGTCAAACGAAGGAGGCCGTGAATTGATGGAAGTTTGGCTGGTATTGACCAAGGCCTGATTTACTACTTGCACAATCCGCCTTGGGATTCAGCTATGAGCTTGATGGCGCACCCGACCTGGAGAAGGGCCAGGCAAGCGGGCAAACCTGGAGTTTGGTTTTGTAGCGCGCAGTGTTTGTTAGAGTGTCAGAGTGGATGGCACTAACCCCAGGCCTACACCATTGTATACGCCCTGTGTCCAAATTTTGATAAATTAACATTTTTTTACACGCATATATATATATATATATGTAGTTAGCTGTCTCAGAGAATGAACTAACTGTCCGCCAACTAAAGTACATAGCTCCGTCAATTTAGTTTGTTCGCCTCTTCAGATCCCTTCTGGGTCACCAGCAGGAGCAAGAACATGCAGATGGTGATCAGAAATCATACTCCGAGGAGTGTTGCTCAATTTCAGCTCCCACTGCAGTCAAGTCGAAGAGTTTTTGCCCAGTTCGAGTCCAAGTAGTTACAGTTTACGTTTGGTTCAGCGCTCAATGTTTGCTAGAGGAGCTTTCCAAAGCCAAAAAGATGGTCTTTGATGAGACGTTTCTGGGCTTGAAAAGGCAGGCACATTGAGTTTATGGGAAGAATTATATACCGTAAGGGGCTCCAGGCAGAAGCAACATTCCACTCAAGGCCCTGTCAAGCAACAGCTTTAATGTGACTGTGACCTCCAACTCGCTCAATGTGCAAACCACTGAGGCAGGGAATCCTGGTGCCGGCTGCAGACAGTGATGACTCGCAAGGGACAAGCGATGAGAAGGAGCTGATAAACAAGCATCCCGAATCTTTCGCACATCATGTCATGTCGTGTCCTTGCTCATGTCGAGGCTCTATTTCTATCATATAATCAGGGTGTGTGAGATGCCTTTGCCTCCTAGGAACAAGAAGCTACTGGGGGCTCCTGGCCTTACTACTAGGAGCAAGGACGCTACTAGCATTCCTTCACATCCGGACCCCGAACCAACCAGGATGCTCGACGTGCTCGACATCTTTCCTCGCCTCCTCGGCGGCTCCGGCGTGAGGCAGGGAGCATCAGAGAGCCTTGCTTTTGACCAAGACGGTGCAAGCCGAGTAGTTTGCCACAGTCGGTAGACCGTAGTCGCAGAATGAGAATGAGACCGTAGTCAAGCATTTATTGGTCATCGAAGAGTTTTTGGGTGTCTTGGTTAGGCAGTGACAACATCTGCGGCATTGTGCTTGCCCGTTCTTGTGGAGGAGCTGATCTCGTTCGTTTGCGTATCGCGACCAGTTTGTTCGATTCGTTGGGGCCGGGCGGAGATGTTCCGCTTCTCCCTCATTTCGTAGCGATGAACTATCAATCAACTAGTCTATAGGCTATCATAGGTCGTCATTCATCACCCAGTGTTTCGGGGGAAGACCTGTGACTGTCGAGTCGAGGTAGAAGCCACATCATCTCTGGCCATTGCAGGAGCGGCAGGACGATAAAAGTGCCATGGCCTTTTGTTTCCTTCCGGTGGCCCGGCGTCGCTTTTTTTCAGATGCACAAAACGAGTATGTGCGACACAGCATGACACAGAACGCGAGACTGAGAACGAGAAAGCATGCCAAGTGTGCAGCTACATGGTTGTGGGCCATCGGTCACTGAGGGTCTCGCTCGTTCATTCGTTCGTTCATTCATTCATTTCATGAGAGGGACCTGGAAGGACTGTTTGCAATTCCCATGGCCTTGAACATGACATGTTCGCATTCAACCTCATTCATGGTGTTGAAAGGAGTTCAGCACAACATGACAGGTTCGAGTGCAGCATGTCTCGGAGAGGTGTGCTTCACAAACGTGACATCAAGAGACATTAAGAAAGGCAGTCCTCGGGTCATGCCATGTCATGACTGCCTTGGATCGTTTTTGGTCAACATAACAAACAAGCAGTTTGCAAGACCTGCAGCCAACTTCGTGTGAGGCCACAGCTGCAGTTTGGCGCTGATGCAGCGCTGCGGCGGCTTACCAAAGGCGTTCCCAAGCATTTACATCACACCACTAACCTATGCTGCCAAGAGTTCCGCCGTTGGACAGACTGTGAGGTCCACGAGGGCATGCCTCACTTGTTTGGTAACTAACTCGGCAACCAGACAGGTTCTCCAAATGCGACTGGGGCGGCAAGCCTAGCAATCCTAGCTCTAGGCATTCCTCGCCTGGCAAGAGAGACAGTCATTTTCCCCCATTGGTGCTGGCCACAAACTTCAAGCAGCCTTTCAACATTTCTCAAGCTATCCCTCCGTTGGAAGCAAAGGTAATCCTTTTGCAGAAATTCTCCTCCTTTGCACGCCTGGAGGTGGGAGATCAAGGCTGTAAGATGTTTGGTTGCCTGAGATAGCCGTTGTTCTGAGAATGAATGCGGGAACATGCGTGAATGTAGACACGAACAACATGGCAAAGGTATTGATTTGAGTTGAACGGTGCATGTTATGATGCTGCTTTGGTCAAGGCCCATAGCGATGGATCTTGCCAGGCCGGCGGCCAGCATTGTGTAGACAGACACAGTAAGGGCTGGACATTATTTCAAAACCTTTGGCGTGACAGTATGACAAATCGAATCAAATTTATAGTATTTTTCACTACAGGCAAAAGACAATGTCGTCACTTTTTTTGAGTGATTGCTACAATGCCTTGGGGGGAAGGCTCTGCGGAAAGTCGTCTCTTTTTCCCAAACACAAGCGAACTCTGTTGGTTGGAAAGGGAATGAAAGAGACTTACTTGTAGGTTGTATGCTGGGGCTCTCATCGGAAGGTGTTTTAACGCTGTACTGGCAACTCAAAAGGGGTTAATAATGCCTGCTGAAGCAATGAGTTTCTTATTCTGCAGTGCTGCAAGCAGTCCACGAGGAATTTTCCACATACATGCGAGACAAGTACAGGAAGCAACACAGTCATTTCCAGGCTTGCCAGTGCAGTTTGCAATGGAACACTTGTGGACTTGGACAGATTGCACCAAGATAGCGAGAGCTACTGGGAGAGCTAGTGGTGTTTTTTCCAGTATAGGAAGAGGTCCACTCGTTGCAGGGTGTTGCTGCCAGATGCTTGTGGTACTGGGTGCTCGGGTTAACTTGTCCAAATTGGGCTACCTTTTTATATGTATGTTGTTGTTGTTGATCATAGGTTGGGAATTCGACCAAGCCGCAAGGGCACACTATTGATTCTGTCTCAAGTTGTTGTGCTCCCAAGTGCGTCGCTGCGATTTCATGTTTTTGGCTTCACTACATTGTGACTAGTTTTTAAACAACCGTTGCGAAGCGGATGGAAACCAATCAAAGCCACACTCTTTCAGAACTAGCGTTCCATTGGTCTTTGCACTCTTTGGGTCGGCTTTTTTGGTGACAAACCTTGATTGGGTATCAGCGTTCCATTGGGGTTGGCTCCTGGGGTGGCTGGGGGGTGGCTTTTTGGAAACAGCGCTGCCATGGTGATTTGGCATTGAAACAGTGACCAGGGATGACTTTGTCAGGTTCCTGTATATATTTATATTTTACCCATCCCATACCCCACTATGAAATGAGGGGGG